TTATCTGCTTGATTGGTTTTGGGATACCCAGGAAACAGGCCACACCTGGCCATGCAGCTGCTTGTCAACCATTTGTTCCATTGCTTATGAGCCACCAATGATTTGGGGGGGGGGGGGTTTCCCACTGGCTTTACTTCCTGAATGGTTAGTATCCCACTTTTGTCAAACTCCTTGAATTACAGCTGCAAGTCCTGACTTCGCTCACATCTGGGTGTGTTTCCTTTCAACTTCAGTGCGGTGGTGTACAGAGGCCAAATGCCAAAACAGTTATCCTTGTTCCAATATTTCTGGTCCTGACTGTATGAATGAGGACTGAGTCCTTCTTTTTCTTATCTCATGTTTTTAATTTCTCTTGCTTACTGCTTCTCACCTTTTTTCTTTGCTTTCTATAACATAGCTTACACAAAAGAATATAGTATGGAGCATATGCATGTATGGTAATCTGATGACATTTCACTAAGATCTATTAGGAGATTTTGTTCTATTCTGCTTCAGCACGCAGGGATGAAAAGAAATACATTTCTGATTTATTTCCACAGTACCTTTTAATAACTATTGTATTGACCGTAGAATGCTTCATAACTATTACATGATTGAAAGCACAAAGGCCGTTGGTTATTGGTATTCAGACATGTATTGCTTGTAAATGACTCAAATCTGCAATACAAAATTGCACTACACCTCCCATTTCCCCACCGCCACCACTTCCAAACTTCGCATCTTTTATTATTCCTTTGTAATACCCACTGCTATCTTTGAGTAAAGGAAACAAATACGCACCACAGCAGATTACTAACATGTATACTGTTATTTACCAGCCTTCCCAGCTCAGTGCCCTCTAGTTGTGCTAGAATTCAAGTCCCAGAATTTCCAGCTTTGCTATCTGGAGGCCAGCAGGTTGGGGAAAGCTAGTAGACATATTTATTTTTACACTAATCCTTTCCTCAGAGCACATTACATCTCTCAACCCTATTCCCTCCTATATCTCATCCTTTCTTTGTTCTAAACCCAACTCCATTTGCATTTCTTTTGCTGCTCATTCCCAATGGCTCTGTCCTTAGCAATCACTCCCTCTAGCACACTTCTGCTTCTTTTCTTGTGTCATTCTCACTTCCAAAAACTCCTCTACCCCTCTAGAGACATATTTGTACAAAAGACAGGCCTTGGTAGAGAATGTAAAAGGGCTAAAAGTAGAATAGATAATGATCACACTGGAGGCAGATTGGTATTTCAAGCATTGTATTACTCACAAATTTATTTGTTGAATTTAATTTTATTTCTGTTAACCTCAAATGAATTGGATCACAGGAAATAGGGAGGTAGCCTAGTTTGCAAATGTTGCCAAATTATTCATGGTGGTAAAATCCAAAGCAGATATTTTGCATAAAATTCCAGAAGGAACACTAGGTACATGGATTACACAATGGTAAAGATTTCATATACCTGTATTAAAGAACATATTTTGAACGGGCTTTCAGTGCCCAGGAAAGAAATGATGGGATCTTGGTAGATACCAGATTGAAACCGGTGACTTATTCTGCAATGGAGTAAAACAAAAGCTAAAGGCTTTTGTAGGCTAGGGATTGATGGGGAAAAGGATGCAAATCCATGGCATGGCTTTCTTTGCTACCTAATATATGGTTTCCAAATATTGGAGCCTTCTGTAGTTCCCAGAGCACCTAGGTCTTGAGTGATATGCCTTAATAATCCACTGCTGTGTTTTCTTCAGAATCATCTTGAAGGCAGTGGCATCCATAGAGAGGGTTGGTAGGAAATGGAGGGCAAATGATGAAAGCTGATGCCAGCTCTACTTCTGTATGTGCAACATGATGTCACTTCCATGTAAAAAGGGGCAGGGCTTGGGTGGCAATGGTGCAGTTGCCTTCATCCTTATGATGAAAGTGGTGGATCCTGCAGATGCCTCTGCCTGAAAATATGATGTGACTGAGGTTTCCCAGGGTGCTTTTTGAGGAAGCAAGATAGAAAGTCTTCTAAGGCTACCTCACGGCCTTGGCATTGGAACGAGCAAGTGTATCAGCAGACATTTTGGTTTTCTCACTTGCTTTATCTGCTAGTGCTGTGCTGTGCTGTGCCTCAGAAATTAAATTCAGTGCAGGACTGAAGATATAGCATCCCTTGAAAACAGCATGTGAACAATAATGAAACACGTTTTAAGAACAGCACAATTAGGAAAGCACTGGTATGTTAACACGATGACGAAAATCTTTTTTAGCTGTGGATGAACCCATAATTATAATTATATGGAAGTTTCTCTTTTTCTTATTATTATAATGAGTGGATACAGTGGGAAAATTGCCCTCAGGGGCCCTTCAGTAGAATCAGGAATGTGTATGAAAATTTGCTTCCATGCAAATACCTCACCATGTGATAATTCTGCATTGCCACCTATTGAAAGCGTTTCTTTCATTTCCTTTTATCAAAGACATTATTTTTTTGCTATTACATATTCACTGCATCATTAGCACTGCTAACTTTGCATAGATTCACCCTTTCCACTTTTGTAATAACAGCAGCAGTCTATAATTGGTGCATTTTTAAAAGTCCTTGACATTCTATTTGGCTCAAGGCAAAAAGCCAGCTATAAGGACTTCACTTTGTATTTTAAGCACAAGCTAACATAATTTGTCGTACTGAGCTCTAATTAGATACCCACAGAAAGAGAACAAGTCAAAGTAGGTATTATCTATTACTTAAACTAACCCTACCAAAATAATAGAGGGCCAGGGGGTCATTTAGAGGGAAAGTGGGGGCAGAGAAAGAGGCATTTAGCCCCTTGTTAGGGCAATAAAATTTTCAAGAATAAAAGCTGGGACATATTAATTTTTATAAAAATGCATATATTTATTAATGTTAATTCATAACTCAACTTCCCAGGAGTCCTGGGCAAAATTTGCAATAAAAAAATAAACTTGAAATTTAATGTGTGGAAAAAGTTCTTTATAACAAAGCAGCCTTCTGTACTTCTAGACCTTTCCTATTTGCACATTTTGGACAAAATCATTTCCAGGTCAAGGCAAGTTAGCCAATGAGTGAGAAGCAATAGATCCTTCTAGCTGTCATTCAGGAAAAGAAGAAAGGAATAGATCTTCTTTTCCATCTCACATTCTGTTAGGAGGTTCCCCCAAACTGGATTAATGAAAAACCCAGGTGCTATGAAAAGAATTTGGTAACCTGATGCCGTTTCTATGGCTATTGCTGCCAGCTTCGAACAGGTACTCTAGTTCAGGCTACTATATCTGGACTGCAAAACTCCAGATGGTCACTAGATGGCAGCATATATTCACATGGCTACATATGCAGCAGACCTGGAAGTTGCAGGCCTGCACTGTGGCTTATACGTGCCTGCTGCTGCTGCTGCTGCTGCTCTCAGCTGGACAGGATGAACTTTTTTATTTGTAAGCTGCCTCAAGTCACTTATACAGTGAGATGGGCAGTGTATAAATCTGATTAATAAAATAAATAAATAAACTCCTGGACCCAGTGACATTTTCCTGGTTTGGGGGAATGTACCCAGCACCTGGGCAGTTTCTCAAAAATGCAGAACTGTCACAGCAAAACTTAGATCATTCATTCATTCATTCATTCATTCATTCATTCATTCATTCATTCATTCATTCATTCATTCATTCATTCATTCATTCATTCATTCATTCATTCATTCATTCATTCATTCATTCATTCATTCATTCATTCATTCATTCATTCATTCATTCATTCATTCATTCATTCATTCATTCATTCATTCATTCATTCATTCATTCATTCATTCATTCATTCATTCATTCATTCATTCTACTAAGCTTGCATGCCACTCCAAACATAGACTAACTCAGAGCACTTTACAATTCAACTATATGTAAACTGGATTAAAACAATTAAAAATATTAATCATTGGCTTTAACACAGATAGTGATAACTTACCTGGAACCGTAACCACCAGTATAATCAATACTTCCACACAATTGATCTCCCCCTCAAAGGCTTGCTGAAATAGGCAAGTTTTAATCGCTTTCCTAAATCCCAGCAGAGCTGGGGCAAGTCAAATTTTCAATGGGGAGTTGTTATCCTTGGGAGGGGGTCGGTGATTGATAAGTCCTCCCCCTGGGACCCCGGGAGATGACATTAATTAAGAGAGGGGACCTAGAGGAAAACAGTGCTAGAGGGATTGTTTCTGATCCATTTGGGCAGGCAGAAACCATTGGGAGCAGGCATTATTGTAAGTCCTGGACATTTGTTCTTCCTATCTTTCCCGCAACTAACATTTTCTCCTACAAATGCTTTTCACAAACATTTCCCCCTCAGCTAGGCTCACCTACCATTTTAGAATCCAGAATGGATTGCAGATTGTTGTGAGGCTGAATGCATTTGCAATTAAATTAAATTTAAATTAAATTAAAAACAGACAGCAGAAAAGCTGGGAATCCACCCTGATCTTACTGAACAAGTGCTGTACAATGTGCTGTGCAATGACCAATGTCCCCTAGTGGTTAAGGTATACAAACATATATACATAAGCTCACCAGCAGTGTATGGCTGTGTATCTGACAATCAAGCCATCAGTCAAATGGATGCCCATTATACTGTTTTCCTTCAAGGGAAACAAAGCAAAGTGCTGTGCCCGGACTACTCCCTTTTGCATAACTTTGTTTGCTTCATGTGTTGTCTTTTGTTCTTCAACCTTCTCACCTTTTTCTTTTTCAGGACTTCATTAACTTTATCCAACCACAATTCCCTTGGTTTTCCTGTTCTTCTCAGCCTGTTCACTCCTCCCTCGTTTTGCAATTCAATCCTTATTCACTCTCTCTATAAGTGAAAATCACCTCAACATCCTTCTTTCATGCTGGTCTCTCACATTTGTATTCAATCCACGTTCATTCAGAATCCATCCATTTGGAATCCATTCACCCAATCTCATATTGTATTATCACACATTGACACAGCTTGTTCCTCCTGAGTCCTTTCATTCAACTGTTTCTTCTGACAGATCCAGCTCCTACTTCCATGTTTCAGAGTGGACAAAATCACGCATTTATATAGATCTATTTTTGCTTTTTCAATAAATTTTCATTCCTTGCAACAAAAATATATACTATGCCTTCCATAAGTATTTGCACATCTTGAAATTTCTGTATCTAATTTCTCATCTTTAGTAAACATTCTTCCAAGGTGCATAAATTCATCTACTTGTTCTAATTATTCATCATTTCTGTATAACATGCCATCATTCTCTCCATTTAACCTGTCAAATATAGCTACCTTGACCTTTATTCATTTTCAGATCCATATTTCTTGTTGCATCATACAATCTTCTCAGCATTAGCAGTAAATCATCTGGATTCTCACCAGCAACATGACGTCATCTGCAAACAAAAGTACATGTATATTCACATCTCCAGCCAGGGTACCACTTACATCACCTCACACATTCCTTAACAACAACCATAAGGAAACCACATATCCTTATTCTGCTCCCTTCTCAATGCTGAATCTTTTGCTAAGCATTCCATTTATTCTCATGCATATTTTATTTCAAGGGTTTAACTCCTAGGCTTTTTGAGTCAATGGACTTTTGGTCATTCTTTTCCTATCCTTGAGAGCCAGAGACATCTGCTTTATATTTACATAATGGTTCTGTCTGGCCTGAGAATCATTGATTCCTGCCTTCCTGGCTTTAACCCTTACAATATCTATTTTAGTTTCTTTCACTTCATTTATTAATTCACATTATTTACCATTTACTCCTCTTACATACTAAGTTGCAATCTTGTATATGTTATGATCATTACCAGATGGGCCCATGTATGTTGACCTCTGCCTGACATCATGACTTTCTTCAACTAAGGCTTCCACATAAATATTTTTGATAAGAAAGAGAAGGAATAGACTAGACTGCTAGTTATAGCAGTGCCACATGTGGCATTCTGTGCTGCAGGTGATGACAGTACTGGTGAGTTTGGGCACATTTGGCCAGAGTTCCACAAGCACAACCAAAACTGAAGTCTATCCCAAGCCTGCTTATCAGATCTGGCAGAGAAGCCATGCTGCGGGTCCTGTCTGTTAGGGAACTACACTTGGCAGGTCCCAGGAGGGAGACCTTCTCTGCCATGGTGCCCGCCTTATGGAATCTTCTCTCCCCAAGAAGTGAGGTTAGCTCCATCCTTGTTAAAGTTCCAGAAGTCCCTCAAGACCTGGCTGTGTCATCAGGCCTGGGGGTCCTGGGGACTGGTGAGATTTTGAGGTGGCTCCCTTACTATGGTTGACATTCATCCTCTCTTTTGCCTTCTGCTTTTTATATTTTTCATTATGATTGTTTTTATATATTTATTGTTTTTTAATTTAGTGCTGTACGCCACCCAGAGTCACTGCTTGTGAGATGGGTGGCCATATAAATTTGATAAATAAATAAATGTTATGCTATGGTATGGTATGCAAACTAGGATTTTTAGTCATAAGCCAAGACATCAACTAGGAGTGTTTCTTTGTTTAAATTTATAAGGCCACTCAACTCTATAGTGACTCTGAGTAGTGATAGTATATTGACACATTCAGGATACAACAATATCAAGCATACAGAAGTTTACTTCCATCTCCTTACAATTCATCCCTGCACATTTTTTTAATTCAGTTTATTTTGTTCAAGATGATAAAAACCTATAATAATTATACAATTTTCTAGTAGAAGCACATCAGCTTTTCCCTTTCAACCTTCTTCAAGAAGGAGGAAAGCAAGCAATTCATGGGGGTGCAAGTTACTGCTTTAAATGTTAAAACCAGCGCACCAAACTTGATTTAAAAACAACCCAAGGAGCTCTTTCAGTATTAGACTGATCATAAGAAGAATACGGTTTTGTGAAGCTGTAATATTGGTAAGGATGTAAATACATTATCATTATTTTTATAGTTCAAATATGATGATTTTTTTAATGACAGACTAAATATTTTTTTCATTCTCCTATAATCTCATGTACCCTTTTCCCTCTGTTTAGATATTTATGGTTCGGAAAGATGAGACCCTGAAAAATCTATTTCTGTTAGTTCATTTTCCAGCCCAGGAAGAGGGTTGTGATATTCTAGAATACAAGATAAAAGAAGAAAAGTCATGTAAGTTTATCTACCTTCTTGAAACATATTCCACATATTTGTCCACAATTCCACCTGGATGACTGAGAATCTTCATAAACATATTTATCCACAGTATATCTACACAGTGATCTGTATCAATGCATACATTTGGATCTGCTTGCATCTACATTTGCTATGAACTTCAGATTCTGGGGCTTTTTCCTGAATATTTTTCTGTCTCTGAAAAGTAGGACTGAGGCGGATCCCTTTGAGAGAGAAAGAGATTGCTCCTTGGTGATTTTTAGCAAGATGATTTTAAAATGGAATTAGACAAATTCAAAGAAAATAAGACAACCAGAAGTTATTAGCCATGATAGCTAAATGGATATTGTAGGTTCACAGGTAGTATATTGCTTAACCTCAGATGCTGGAGACCTACACTAAAGAAAAGGTCTTGCTTTCATGCTGGGTTTATGGACCACTTAGCAATATTTGGTTGACCAGTATTGAAAACCAGGTGCTAGTCTAAAAAAATAGATAAAAGGGCATCTGGTAGTAATAGCAGGAGCTGTTGCCAGATTGTAGTAGGCTGCCTACTTTGGTGCATCAGAAAAATTCCATCCAGTCCACTGTCTGTTTCCAGTGGGTGGACAAATCAAATCTTTATTAGTCAAAGACCACCAGAAGGAGGGTGGGTTACAGTCAATTAAAAAGCATAGAAAATATATCAGAGTCTAAATAATAAAAAGCTAAAAGATATAAAATAGAAAGTACAGTATATATCTAAAAGGAGTCTAAAAGGAGGGGTAGGAGCATTAGATGGGTGTAGGGAAGCATAATGGTTAGTATACGGCAGACTATATCAAATTACAGAACACGCTAGTATGATGAACTAGATGCTCATTAAGACTAGTTTATGGCACAGGTCATCTGATGAATTTTAATCGCTGCTGCACAGAACCTGGCAACATTATATGGTGTAGCAGAGTTGGTATCTGAGGGCAGCAGAAAGGTGTAGAATTTTCATATGCACCCTGGGTATTTATGCAATAATGGTGAGATGAGTCTTGTACAAATGTCTCTGTAATGCACATGCTCTGTTGTTTCTGTGTGCCCAGAGTCACAGGGGCATTGTCTCTGTGGGTAAGGAAGCCTCCTGTATCTGCCTTCAAGGACAGCTGAGGGAAGGGAAGGACATCATGCCAGAGTAAAGGCCCTCTGGTGTTTAGGTACTTTGAGTGCCACTGGGTAGATGTTTATCCATCAGCAAAAGAAATTTTGATCAACAAAAATGGAGCTACAGAGTTATTATGATTTAAATAGAAATACAGTACATTTCACCATATGGGAGATATTGTGATCAGATGACCTGTGTTCCTTTTGTCATAGCGTAGAAGATGGTGGCTAGGTAACCAGTTGTACCTACTCAATTTGTGGTTCAGGCATTAACTCTTGAGAAGTAATTTCAAGAATGTGGCTCTCTTTTCTTTCATTTTTTAATCTTTAACCAACTAAGGCTGGACAGCCCTTAAAATAGAATGTAGTAAAGTTGGACATATGGCCACTTTAGCTTGGAGCAGCAGCAGTAAACCAGGATACTATTTGCATTCTCAAGAAACATATGAATATGGTGGTCTTCCTAGGCATTTTGCACTTAATATTATGAGGTATACTACCTCTGTTCATGAAGATTCCAGTTTTTCTATTACGTATATTAGAAAATCTATGTAATTTTACCTGTTCCTTTTGCAACACTATCTAAACTAGTGAATGGCTGTTGGCATCTCTTGGTAGGGAATTCCACAAAAGTCCTGAAGAAGACTGTTGTTCAAAATAGAAAAGTTCATGAAAAAGGCAGAACTTGAACCAGGAATACTGTATTACACACTACACTACATCAGATTCACCTGCTTTCTTATAAAGGGAGACAATATTTTCCTTCCTTGATTTTTGAAACGAGATGTGTGTGTCCCTCCTTAATCGTCACATCTCTCTGACAATTTTCCGTGTCACCTTTTATTAGAGATGCCACTGTGGCTGCTGTTCCCAATTCCTGGTAATAAGGTTATTCACTGAATTCAAATGTTAATGGCTACTCCAGAGTACTAAAACATTCAGAATACTGTTCTTTGTGGCTTGGCCCACAATGGCCTCATGCAGATTAATCTTTTTGTCCTAGATATTCTCAGAAGCCACATCCTCAAGGGTAATGAGTTGTGCCAAAGAGGCCAAACATATTAAATGAGTGTGTGGGTGTATGTATGGAGGTGTATCTACACTTGCTTCCATAGCATTTAGCAATTTGAACTTCACAATCTTCTGTTCCTGAAAAAAAAACATGAAATAAAGTGAGGATTACATTTTACTCTGATGCACCTCAGCACACTTAATCTCATTTTCTGATAAGCAGCATTGCAAACCATTATGTTTGCCAAGCTGCTACTTTTGGAAAGATCTAAAAAAAAGTGGATACATTTCTCAGAATAGCTTGCACTGACACGGATCTCTGCCTAGAACCATGGAAATACTTGGGGAATATTCATGGGCCCTATGGCATATCATGATTCAGAGAGTGTTAAATTAGCTTGAACAATCACAGAGTTACTACATTATTGTTGCATCTCAGCATTATTCATATGGAAACTAATGAGGGAATGGAAGGGGAAAAACAAGACAGAGGCTTAGAAAAGGCAGCTTTATTCTTTCAACTGAACAGACCGTTTTGCTTCAGCTTATTTCTATATTGATCTGGAAATGCATTCAGTATTCCTTGCAAAGCATCATTAACCCCCCAACCAGAGCATACTTTAAAATAATTCATGAAATGTTGTCTAAACTAATTGCAACATGGGACCATAGCAGAACTGATCCTTGAGGTTACATTTGTATCCTATTGTTGAATATTTCTGTTAGGATCAGCCATTATGCAGCCTGCATATGAGATCATTCTGGGAGGCTGGAACTGAATGGTAGTGATCTCAGCCAGGATGACTGAACATCTCCTTTTGCTGCAGCTGGAGAAATGGGTGTAGCCAAATGCAGCTCTGAGTCCAAAGGAATCAAATATTTGTGGGTTCCAACCAGATCTCATCACTAGCTCAACTCTTCTTATATAGCCAAGTGGAATGAAGACAGATGGAGTGAAATACTGTACAGGTGGTCCCCAAGCAAGCTAACTGGTGGCTATGTTCCAGGTAGTCTCCCATCAAATATTGGGCACATGCCAATTTTTGAGAACTCTATCTAATGAGCATCACGTTAACAGATCCTAGGTGTCTCTTGGGGACTTGCACTTTTCCCCCTAGTTTGTCACTGATCCTTTTGCCCTCCCTTGGTTATTCCTATAATGTACTTCCTGCAAGTTGAAGGCCCTTGAAGTATAGATTCTCAGTTGCAATTCTGAGTATTACATAAAGAGGAAAAGCAATGATGTGTGACTCCTTATGGAAGCATCCCGGTTATTTTCCAAGATGTAACACTATCAAAGTGACTTCAGAATATTCTCTGAAGGCCTGTGAGTGAAGAACACCAATCATCAGATGCAGCTCAGAATGAATGACAGATTCTTAGAAAGAGGACAGATTGGAGCAGAAGAACTAGCAGGATCAGGATACTGGGAGTGGGTTGGAAGGCAGGTCCAGACAATAAATAAGATCACATATACATAAGATTCTGATCTAGTGGAGCCAAGCCATGCACTCTGGGTGGTAAAAGACGTCTGAAGTTAAGGCACATTCCTGCCCAAATAACAGAGGTAACTCTTGAAGTTTATTCATCTATGTTCAAATCTGCAATCTCCTGTATCTATGGCCTCCCATAGGCCTGCTGAATTGGGCTGCTGGCATCCCTGCCACAAAAAGTCCTGGGGCATTCCCTTTGAAGAACAGCTTATATGGCTTAAGTCCTTCCTGGTGATAAAGCTCAGCCAGTTTTATCTCACACCTAAAGCTTGATTTTTTAAATTTTGCTTTCTTCTGGGGATCTTTCATCCTTTGCAATCGCTGTTGGGAAAAAATAGAACAGGTCTCAACTGTGGGAATGGTGACAATATGAAATGCAGGGCACTGCCATATACAAAGCTGTGCATGCCCCACCAATTGGACCCTCCTCCCATCCTATTTATCCTTGCCAGAAAAAAGCACAGAAGCTCACGATCTGGAAGGGTAACAGGCACACCTCTGGGAGCAAGTTGATTCATAGTAATGGAACCACAATAGGGAAGGATGTATGGACTATGCCTATGGGTCCATATACCCTTGTGTTCACATGGGGATGGGACCCTGAGCATCCCTCTCTGCTTGCTCACAGGGCCTGGGCAGATTCCCCCTGGAAAAGATGATCCCTAAGGTAACCCGAAGCCAAACCATGTAGGCCTTTAAAGGTCAAGAGCAGCACTTTGAATTGGACTCAGAAGCTTATTAGCAACCAAGGCAATAACTAGAGAATAGGTGTAATACTTATATAACAACTGTCACCTGCTAATAAACTGCCCACTGCATGGCATTTGTACCAACTGAATGGTACAATGGTAGCTTCTGAATAATTTTCAACAGCCAACACAACTTAGTCCAAGTCATCCAAAACTGAGACACCAGCCTCAGCTGAGCAAAGACCCCCCTGGCCACAGCTTGTAGCTCTTCTAGGGGGAGAATGAATCTGTCCAGAACTAATACTGAAACAGTCATGGAACTAGAATGGTTCTGGACAGACAATCACTCCCTCTTGCTGGGATTGAGACTTAGGTTATTTCTACCCATCCAGATTCTCACAGCTTCAAGGACTTCCCCAGCATCTCTGATCTGGTCTGGGATGGCAATGTAGAGTTGAGTATCATTAATGTACTGATATTATCTCATACACACACACTTGTTGTAAAACAGATATCCCCTCCCAGGGTCTTCATGTAGATGTTAAAGAGCAATGAGAAGACAGTGGAGCCCTCTGGTATCCCATGTTTATTCCAGCAGGCAATTAGGTGCTGTCCTTCAGATCTCTAGGAAAACCTCCAAGTGCTTCCAGGAAGCCATCGGGATACATTTGTCATCTACCGCTCCTGCAGTGGTGGGACAACAGTTCTAGGATAACAGTAATGTGCAGCTTGACCAGAAAGTGATCAGTTTGACCATGGCAAAAGATTAATTGTAATGTCCCCCATTTTCAGTTCCACACACCATTTGCTCTGAATTAAACTGCTAGTTCTAATATATAACCACCAACATGAGTAGAGTTGACATAATCTGGAATAATGTATGGTTGGCATGGAAACCATGAATTCCTAAGCAGCACTGGATCTCATCCCTAGACTCCACCTCTAGTCCAGTAATGAGGTCCTACTGCAAGATTTCTCTCAAAAAGTATCACAGTTGGTATGATTGCAGCCATATTTAACTACTAGGTATATAAGAACTTCACCTGAGCCTTTTCTCCAGATGTCCCTACCTAATGAGGAAAGGCTGGGGTCTGTCAGAGATAGGGCTTTGTTGGAGGCAGTGCAATCTCCCCCAAAAGGCTGATTTAGTGCTAACATTATGAACTTTTGGGCAGCAAGTGAAGTCTTTGTTGTTATTTCTCAGGTATTTTAGGAACCATTTTGTTGTTAGAACTTAACTGTTTTCATGATTCTTTACTATAATTTCATGGGGTTTTTTTTTAGTGATTACTATAGCTCTGTTGTACTGTTCTCTAAGAAGGTTTTAATTCTGTTCTCTGGTTCTTAAAAATATTTTAATGTTGCTTTTATATTTACTTTTTTATAACATGTTGTAACTGTTATAACTGGATAGTACAAATACTGGCCCGCAGTATATGAGATTTCCTCGTAATCTGTTCCCAGAATGAGTGCAGATTACCTTTTCTGGGGTCAGCAGCCTGGGGACAACTGAGTTTACCTTCTGGTTGTTCAATCACTCCTCCCTCCAGAGTTTGGTATAGTCAAAAGGCAGATTTTTTTCCCAGCAACAGCAGAGAATCAAACAGCCTATAAAAATAGCATGAGAACAACTGCAGGTTTTCAAACTTGATCCCTTATAACGCCAGGACAATGTCTCACAGAGAAACAGAGTGGAGCCTTCAAGATGTTGCTTTCCAATCATGGTCACTGGTTTTATTTTTAGCTCCAGTAATGTGCCAGAGATAGCTCTGATAGTTCTCCATATTTAGTAACTGTGACTGCAGCACATTGGAGCAAGCTCAGGGTCGTGCCTCTGGTGTCTTTCCACATTTGGGGTAAGTTGCCCACCGACTAGCCAGTTCTAGGTAACTAGAAAATAAATGCTCTCTTATTTATATTTTCTGAGGGAGGCAAGGATGTCTCTGGCGGTCGAATAGATTTCTTACAGTTTAAGTCATTTTTTGAAAGAGGAGCATTGCTTTAGCAGAGCTTGTTGCTTTAGCAGTTTTCAGAAAGTATGATAAGTAGATTAAATGTGAAAGGCAAAATGGTTTGATTGAGCTGAACTATGATTCAGTTTAGATTGGTGTACTTTTACACATAAAAGTATTAAAGTTAGGCTAGTATGGAAAGAGCAGACTACATAATTAGACAACCAAGAATGAAGTACAGTTCCTGAGAAACATTCCTGAGAATATTTGTAGCAACTTGGATTCATATCGTGTTATTGGAGCCAAAATCCTATGTCAGGAAATGAACACTGATTTGGAGTCTTTGGACAAATCCCTCCTCCACCATGAAGATCATTATGTGATTTGGGCTAACCACCTATTTCTATTCTACATCACAGGACCAGCCCCTAAGCAGCACAGTGAGCAGATGTACCTCTAGTAGCACTATGTTTTGTGTTATATCAGGGGGAGGGAGGATTAAAATATTAAATCTGAGTGGTACAGTGAGATTTTTAAAAGTGCTGGAGTTCATAAAAGTAGGAGGAATACCTTTTAGGACTAGCCCCTGACAGAAAAGTGTTTTTGGCCAGGACTAATTACGGGGATCCAGGCAAAGGATAGCCTGGGTCTTCTGTATTGGATGAACTTTTGAGCAGATGGGTCTGGTCAACACCAACCCTTGAGTTTAACCATTGAGATTGCTACCAGGGTTGTGGATCTATCTGTGTTTGTTTCACCTTCTTAAGGACAGTGAGGGTACAATGGAGATCACAGAACAGCAGGGAGTGGGGAGGAGGAGAGGAAACAGCCCTGGGTCAGGAGTCTCCAGCTATTAATGCAGAATGCAGATTTCCCATTGACAGGGTGACCAGTCTTCCTGGGTTAAGGTCATTTCCATGTTGTGGTCAGAGTTAATTTCTGATTTAAGGCATAACAGGGTTGATGTTAGATCCACCCCAGCGATTTGAGGCACAGCTTGAGACAGCCAGCATGCATAAAAATTTCCATTATAAAGCTGAATCTCCTTCCTGTGATGCTGAACTTCTTGAAAAAGTCTGATTCTAGCAAAGTGACACCATTTCCTCTTTTCTCTTCTGTATTTTTTTGGAACAAGGCACTTTATTTGTCTTGCACGTAGGATGTGTAGGTGTTTACAAGAACAGGATGGAATTTAAGGGCCAGCCACAATCAAAAGCCAACCAGTATGGGAGCGTGTTAAACATGATGAAAGTGTAGCTCCTCTCCCAAATCTGCAGTCTATAATGTTCTTAAGCTGGTGGGGGAAGAAGCATGAAGATGGACTGGAAGAGGTCATGTACACATTTGTTTAAGATTACTTTGCATTAGGTACAAGCATATTTTAGATGTTACTGGGGGGCTAGTCTTTGAGACTTTTGATGTAGGAGATTACTATCCTTGGGCTAACACTGTACTAACCAAAAGTCCATTCATTTAGGATAGGGCTCTCAAATTCTTGATTGAGATCCCGCTGGAGGTCATGAGCAATTTATTGGGGGGAGGACTGTGTATAAAAAAATCTGATCAGGCTTGTCAAAACTCACTCTGTCCAGCCTTAACCCCAGTGAAATCAATAGTTTTATTAATGGCGAAGTTAATTTATTATTTTAGGAGGTCACAGAACTGCAAAGTTGAGGACTCTTGACTTTAGGGCCTTTCCATCATGCTAAGTTGAAGCACTATCCATCCATCCCTGAGCTGGCAGAAAACAACACTAGCCTGAAATTTGCTGCCCCCATTGCCTGTGCCTGCATTGCCTCTGATCTTAATGGTGCAGTCCTGATTACCTGTATAGTGTAATGTGATAAGCAAGTGATTGGTTGATTCCTCCAGCTTTGCTGCCCTCCCTCTTCCTCACGTCACTGCCCAGCAGCAAAAACATCCAACAATTATGATGCTCCAGCAGGAATTTGGTGGGTCCAGCCAAATGCTGTCTTCTCTGAGCTCCTCCTGCGCCTCTCCTCCTACGCACCATTCTGTTGTAACCTGACTCAGATATAAAATGCATATTTAAAAAAATATAACAAAACAAATAATTTTCATGATTTATCTGTTTATTTTGCTTATAGCTTGTCCAACTCAAAAGTCTCTTGGGGGGGTTGTGATATGTTAGAATGATAAAAGCAATGTCTTGATGGCACATAATCAATCAATCAAGAGAAATAAATCATATATATACACACACACACATACACACAATAAGAAAGTAACCCTCACCCAAGATGGACAGCAATAAAACATAGACAGGGTCGAAGGACTGATGAAATAAAACTGTATTTGAAAATAGTCTGCAAACCATGAGAAAGGAGTTATATGTCCTTCCTGTGATAGAGAGTTCCATGGTATGGGGGCCACCAGAAAGAAGATCTGTCATTTCATACATAAAATAGGGCAGATCTTTTATTGCATGGTTGTGGCCACCATCTTGAATATTTTGACACCCCCCTCCCCCTGCAGACACAGCCCTGAATTAAAAGTAAACTAAATCAAGTTTAACAAGGAAAATAAACTTCCTCCCTCCCTCCCTCCCTTCTCCCTGCTGACACTCCTGTTATAACTGTACCTGACCTTGACTAATCCTAGAAAAGCTTAGCTGTGTCAGCCCTCCTTGGAAAGGCTATAAGGGGAAGACTGTAAGGGGAAAAGGTGACTCAGAGCATGTGTGGGCATGCCCAGAGTACCTGTTAGCGATTCCTTAAATAATTGCATTGTCTCTGGGCTTGTACATGATTTCAAGAAAAAGCAAGTTCATTTAAGGAGATAATGATGAGTGCTATATGCATGCCCGCAAATACCTGAATCACATTTCCCCTCTCAAACTGGGGTCACTGCACAACCTGAATGGTTAATGCTTAGACAGGAAACCTCCAGAAAACCTGGGGCTTAGACTAGACTGGGCAATTATAAAACAAAAATAGGCAGTGGCAAACCATTTCCATACTGTTGCCAAAAAACCAACATAGACTGTCCCTATAGTAACCACACATAGTAAGTCTTCACTCAAGGGATACTTTGCTTTATCTTTAAATGTCCTCCTCATTTAGGTGTCTTCTAATTTTCAGACTGTCATTTCCAGTCATTCCATAATTATATTATCTCTTCACTCTGGAAAATTTCCTAGTTTTTCTTTTCAGCTGGGCATAATGGAAGGTACAGTAGTTGTTTTCCAGACCAAGCAAGTTTTTGCTTTCTACCAACTATGGGACTATTTTGCTACAGCTATTCTTTTTCTTTTATTGCAGAATGCTTTGTTCTGTTTAATCATGTCTAAGGCTGCTGAGGCATTGCAACTCCATTTCTGTGTGAAGTGAGAGTTGAGCAATGGGGTAAAATCCTTGCTTTGAGATAGAGGTTTTAAACAAATTGATAGGGAAGGGAATAGAACAGAGTGGGCTATTTTGATTCTAGCTCATAAATTGTCATTTCAACTTCACAGCAAAGTATTTGTGGCAAATGACAAATTGTTGTCTGTCACTTTAAATTTTATTTTCTAAACAACACCAATGAAATGAGCCACATCACCTAATTTTTGCCATTTCTCCTGCTGAAGTGGCCATTTCAGAATGAGTCCATCATGCATCTATCTCACTGATTTTCCGAGAGCAGTCCCTGAATACTTTTCTTATTTCTTATCAGTATTGTACCTGGAAGGATCTCTTCTTGTGTTTGAAGACATCTTCAAACTGGTGGCATTCTACTGTGTCAGTAGGTAAGTTGGATGAATGTTTTCCAGTCATGATGCCATGTGGCCTTGCAAATATGCTTGTGAAAATGACTAGCCTGCAAAAAATAGTCTTCAAGAGGCTGGCTGAGGAAGAATGGAGAGCATTCTCCCTCAACCCATAGCAGTGCTGACCAAGAGAGGGAAGAGTGATGGAGAAGCCCGCCTATCCACTTGCTTGTCTGCATGGAATTCCTTGTTCTCTGGGGCTTCCGACATGATGCCTAAGTAAAAGGAATTCCATTCCCCCATATTAGAAGAATGTAAAGATAACTAAGTCTGTAAGATTGTAGCAGGCATAATTTGTACAGGAAAACAGAATAAGAAAGTGCAGAGATTGTAGAATGCTATTTCAGGCTATGGGCGGGATGGGGGGAGGGAATTATATTTAGTAATGCTTTCTTGGTTAACTTAAAAAGAAACCTAACCAAGCAAATCAGACAAGTTTGGGATGACATCTTTCTATTTATAGGATGTATTTTATTTGAAGGAGCACTCAGAATGGGCACCCACTATCTGCAATCAGTAGTGTGAATCCAATCTATTATATTCTAACCACTCAGAGCAATTCTGTATGTAGAACTGATCTTTCCTTTATCTGTATCCCCTTGTACCCTCTTCGTTTCTCCCCATCACCTGCATTGCATTATAATGACATACATCTTGAATCCAGGAAGTGTAAATAATGCTACAAAGAACCAGAGGGGGACAATAAATAGCCTTTGGCCTCTTGGCACTACCCAAGCTTACCTCACACTTTGAGACAATCTTGGTTATGAAAATATTATGTCTTGATTCTTTCACTCAGCATTATTAGGGAGACATGAGAAAGAGATATTTTGTGGCCCCAGAGCCAGCCCTATTATTGTGTGAGCAAAAGAGGTGAGATGGTCACCTCAAGCAAAGACTCCGAAAGGTAGCAGCAAAGTGGTAGGAGAAAAGAGCTGCCTCCTTCAGATGTCCTGGCAGTGTTCTGGTAACTCAGATGTTGCTGAAGAAATGAACATGAACAAGTTCCTCATAATAGATCATTTGAACAGAACTCTTTTGATTTGTTCATGGAAGGTATTCTAGTATGACTGTTAGAGACTTTGGTCCTAAATATCAAAGTGTCCCTAATCTCCTGAAAGGACACTGTCCATTTTCACATAGCAGGAAAGATCTCTTTTATTTCAGGAACCCCAAAATGGTTGTTGACTAGCAATTTTATTTTGTGTATACACTCAAGTAGAAGGGAGATGCAATCTTTTATGATTTTGAAAGAAATAATAGAGTAAAATACTGCATATACTGTAATTTAGTGACTGCTGGAAATAAATAGTCTAAATATGCTAAACAGTCCTGTGAAAACCTGTGGTAAGTAGCCTTGCCTTGGATGGAGCACGTGCTAAAGAAATTGAATGTGGAGGACTTGGGTTAATGTAAGATGAGTATCAGCAAAGCGGAATGGGTGGGGGAATGGCTGCAATGAGTTCAGCTCTTGGCCTTTTTAGGAACTGCCAAGGCAAGCAGTTTGCTTAACCCTTGGGCCAATCGTATGAAAAAAAATAACTTCCTTTAATGTAGAGAAGCTACAGTCAAGCTCTGTTAGGATATATTAACTGAAACTTGTAGTTCCAAGCTGTTTTTTAAAAGAATGACCTCATTGTGGGCATAAGAACAAAGAAGCTTTATCAGTGGTCTCAAAATATTTTTGCTGCATGACTCTTTGTAATAGCCAAATCTAACTTGTGTCCCTAATCTCCTGAAAGGACATGTACATTAGTGCACATGCACTAGTAGGTTGGAACACAGAGCATAAATCCAGAATTCCCCACAGTTTGGGAGGGGTCCCAAGCCAAGGAGCGTATGGTAAATGTCTATCCATCTGGTGGCCAAGACCTCTGTGGCTGCATCTTGTGCCATTTTAAATGAGATAACTTTCTAGTGAGAATAGCAGGTTGCTGAATGAGCTGGATGCTCTCTTTGTGGATGGGTGGTCAGAGAAAGCACCAGTCAGTCTGTACTGTTTGGCCATACTGGATGAGAATTCTGGGAGTTGCAGCCCCAACACACCTGGAGTGAAATAGGTTGGACACTGCTGACCACACTCAGTGACTTCTTATGAAGAGCGTGTATGTCAGAGGTCATTTCCCCCTTAATGCATTTATGGTGTTCCCCAACCACCCAAAGCCTGTCCTCATTACTATTACATTAGCACAATAATGGTTAGATAACTCTAGAAGACATGATGGCCATTTCATCATTCCTGATCTACAGTCACCAACCATTCTTGTGGTTATATTCTGTCTTCTTCATGTTATATTGGCACAGCAATGGTAGGATGATGCTATACACTGTTATAAATCCCTAATAAGGAAATGGCAATTGTCACAAGTGGAGATCTTGAATAAGGACATTTCCAAAGTGGTAGCTAATTATGGCAGAAATATACCCTGGCAACATCTGTTTTCTGCTGGGTTCCCATTATGTTGCCTTCAACTCATTCACAGTCTGTGAGTGAGAAAGGCTTAAGTCATCCTTAGTTCTGCCTGTATTAAAGTTGTATTTTCCTATTATTCTGACTATGTCTAAGGCAGCCTCAGGGTGTATAAATATGCTAAGCTTTGACATCCATTGCCTTGGAGTGAATCAGGGACTGGTAGTGACTGAGAAGGGAGGCCATAGAGACAGAATATGGATCAGCACTGGGACCAGCAAGTTTCATGCCAGCTCAGGGCTGCAACAGAGCAGTGTGGAAAGATTCTAAGGGCTGTGTTCATGACAAGAAAGAAAATAAATTAAGGATTTTTTTTTTTTTTTGCCAGATCACCCATGGTCTTATTTCTATGTTCATATATGCATAGCCTTCACGCTCTTCCTTTTTGGGGTAAGCAACGTTATGTAGTGTACAGAAAAGAAATAAGAAATCCAGAGAAATTAAAGGCAGTAGATAGGACAAAGATAAGGAAAGAGCTAAAACTAGTTCATACCAAGAGCATTCAGTACACCTCTCTAAACCCTTCTGTCCTGGCAAAATATGTTTGCTCCCACTACATCCGTATTCAGGTTGAGTCACTGCCTTTTGTTCTTTAAGCTTCTTATTTCCCCTTTTGAGAATCTCATTGGCTCCCCTCAACCATGACTTTATCATTCTTCCACTTCCTCGTGACCCTTTTCATCTTCTTTCATTTATTCAAGTTACAGTTTGTTCCTCATTTATTCTCTTTGTATAACGAAACCACCACAATGTACTGGTTTCGCACTGGTCTCTCAGTTTTGTTTTCCATCCAACACTTAGTCATTTGGGACCTTCTCCCTATGACCGCATCCACTCCATAAGGAGCCCATTCCTACTGCACTCAGATTATTTTTATATTTCTCCTGACATGCTCAACTCTCACTTCCATATAACAAACTGAAATGGGCAGAAACATGCTCTTATATACATCTATTTTCACTTCTTTTGACAAAAGTCATTTCTTGGAACAGATGATATACAACTTGATTTTTGTTACCACTTTCTGCATATCTTCAGTTTTTACATCTTTTCCCCATCTTTAGTAAAAACATTCTGTAAATGTACACAAATTAATCTACTTGCTCTAGCTTCTGCTATATAGGTATAATTTGTAATTAGTCAATTTTTCCTGTCAAGCCAGCTACTGTGGTCTTTGATACATTAATTTTCAAATCTATACATATCAGATAATCTAACATGTACTGCAAATCACTTTTGCATCTTCTGAATACACATCCTCATCCTCTTAAATCATCATAAGTACTTCTTATACATTTATCCACAAATACATTGAATAAACAAGGGAACATCACACATTCTTTTCTGACTGTCTCCTGAATGTTAGTCACTGAAACAATTCCCTAACCATTGCACTGATTTTCATGCACATTTTATTTCCATCATATAATCTTCTTATCAAATTCAGCAACCAACCATGAACACCATATTCATGTAAAACATGTCCCCCCAAATTCAAGTCTATTCACTTTATCATATGCATCCTCTAAATCAACAGAAGTACAGCAAATTTTCTTTCCCACATTCATACATTTCTAAATGACTGCTGAAGAACCAAAATCTGGTCTGCATATCCATTAAAGTTACAATATACTTGCCAGATTTTGGCAACTGTCATCTTTTCTACCTTTTCTACCCTTTCACTCAGAAACCTGCCAAACGCCTTCACAAGCACACTTAAGAAACTAATCCCCCTGTAGTTCTTCCATTCAATTTTGCTACCTTTCCTTTGGAACAAGGGAGCAAAATTGACTTTCTTTCAATCATCAGACACTGATGCAGTCTTGGCACACATTAAACAAGTCACACAACCACTCCATCTGCAAATGACACTTGTATTTTCACATTTCTCCAGGGACAGCTTCTATACCTACAGCTCATTCTTTTTCAATGTTACAACTTTCTTTTTGTCATATCTTTTTCTTGCTTACTAGTGCTGATAGCATTTGTCTCAATTCCACTTTTCAATATGTTGTTATCGTTCCCATACAAATCTCTAAAATACACAAGCAAATTAAAGCCTGGTTTTATTTCAAACATGTCCATACTATTCTGTGCTAACTAGGCCCTCAAACTGAGAGACCGCCTTGCAAACCAATGTATTATTGCTCACAACCCAGCGACTCAGCAACTCAGAGTTGTTGAAGTCAGGCAGCGCCAAATCAAATAAATAGGAAACCAACAAAGTCAGAGATACAGGTAATCTACTGACACACACTCGGCATGCATTGTGTTGCTTTCTCATATTCTCTCTCTCTCTTGCTTTGTTTTGGTTGTTTTTTGTTTTTGGTTTTTTACTCTGTAGAGACCTACTTCCGTTCACGCTAAGATTGCCACAAGCAATATTGGAAGCCAAAAGTGCTACAGAACTAGAAACCATCTCTGGTTTGGGGATAGGTAAGTTGTCTTGAAAACAGATCCAGATCCAGCTACAGATACAGTTCTCTTATGTCTGATTTTGTTATATGATGCTACTGCTTTCTGCAAGAGAAATGCATTCCAGGCTGCCATGATCTGTTCCTTCTCACCATTATGGGACTGCTTTAGGTACTTCCACAGTGCATCTTCCTTTACAGAAATGTGTGAAAGGCTGTTGAGGACCATCTTCTATTTGAAGGGATCCTCTTTTTTGACAGACTGTCCAATCCAGCTCTGATTTAAAGAGCTATTAAAGGGGAGAGCAGGAGCCTTGAAGGTTCCCATCAACTGTAAGTAATCAGACAGGAGACAAAAAGAGAAAGTGAGAAGAATTTATTTCTACTATTATTCTCAGCTGTATTAATATCCTTTAATACAAATCTGAGTTCTCTTTTCTTTTCTGATAAAGCTTAACGAACACTTTAGTGCAATGTTTCTCAACCTTGGCGACTTTAAGATGCATGGACTTTAACTCTCAGAATGCCTTAGATAACATGCTGGCTGAGGAATTCTGGGAGTTGAAGTCCACACATCTTAAAGTTGCCAAGGTTGAAAAATACAGCTTTAGCATAACATTCTGCTTGTGTCTTTGCTTGTGCCTCACCTAAAGAAATTCTAAATTGTAGGTATTAGGTATGTTTGTTGCTTCACTTTGTTCATTGCTTATTGGTGGATAGATGGCAGAACTGAAGGGCATCGGACTATCTTTCTGTAGTCAGAAATCTGCACCAACCTCCCCAACACATTTATTGGTAGACACGGATCTGAAAAAACGGATCTTTCTGACAGTTGCTTACAACATTGCTAGTTACATAAAAAGAAAGAAACAACAGACTTTTATTTTTACAATTATATACATTAGGGGAAGTTGTATAGAAAAGCTCCTTATGTGAGGGAACAAAAATGGATTTTTAGACATTTTTTTAAAAAAAATCCATTAAAAACATATGAAACAGAATACTCTTTGTACAGAAAGAATAACATGGGCTAGATTTATCCTGATCCACACTATTCAGTGCACCCATCCCTCAACAAGTTGCCTTGAAAATGTAATAGGATTGCTGTGTTCTCATGCCATGCTGTCTGGAAATGCTAGAAGCTGTATGGATAAGAAAGGCTAATTTGGTGTTTTTGTATATTGAATGGGGCTCAGAGACAAAAGGACAACCAATGGCAGTTGCCTCAAGCATGGATATAATATGACTATGATGACTTCTCACTGTCACTAATTGGAGGTAGCTACCAGGTTGTCTTCAAAGGTAGCTTCACACAGAGGATATGTCAATTGGCTAATCACATTTTGACAAATTTAGACTCATATAATTGAAGGAAAGAAATGGTTAGGAAGAATTTTTTCTTAATTTGGAGTACAAATATTGCTAATGCGGCATAATAAGAGATACAGTATTAAATTCATATATGTCCTGAATTGACTATATCTGTTGGAATTCTACCCAAGGGATGGAGAAACATGCAGTTCTCCAGATGTTGCTGTTCTACAACTTCTGTTAACACTAACCAGCATGACCTTTGGTGAAAGATGCTGAGAATAGTAGTTTAGCGAACATCTGGATGGCCTTCCTTACCCCTAGAATAGAGGGGCAGCTAACACCTTAAGATTGTTCCAGGGTCAACTCAGCTCTGTGTACCGACAGTTTGCTTTCCTTCAGTTTTCAGCCAGACAGATATACAATTCAACAACATGCAAACTTCTATAAAAAATTTCAAAATACAGGACTAGAACGAATTCTAGAAGGAATTCAGTTCATCCAACTCAATCCCAGTGTTCTAATATTGCTTTCATATGGAGAATGTATTCATTTCTGAGTATATGCATTTATCTTTGTGTTTGTAGGTCTGTTCTCATTTGCTTTAAGTAAAATCGGTGCAGTGTGTTTGACAAAAAGTTATGAATAAAATCCTGGGTTCAAATTTCATCCAAGCTGCAATTTCACTGGGTGTGCTGGTGCCTGCAACCTTGGGACTCATGAACTCATCTGTAATATGAGATTAATATGTTCTACCGCACATAATTTTTCTCACAACAAAGAAGATGCTGAAGGTTTAGATCATTGAAATAATATGCCCAATGGACTTTGAGCACTTGGAAATTCTTTTTCAGTCACATACCAAGGACTGTCCATGTAACAAAGCTGGACACTATTGTCCAGCTTTCAGCCCTTGAGCTTCCTGTGTGCAAAGCATGTGCTGTCTCATTAAGCTACAATTTTTACTACACCTTCCTTTTAAAAAAGTCATGCTAAATAACAACTAGATTGTAATCCATAATATGTCTTAGAAAAACCTAATCAATACAAAGAGGCACTAGTAGGAGGTAATAGCAGGTAGTGTGACCAGAGTTTCTTTCCTAAAAGGAAAGATTTCATAGTCTAAAACACTTACTTATTGCCAATTTCCACTTCCTCCGAATCATGTATTTTTATAGGAGGTGGAATTCCCCATTTTGTACTGACATTTCCAAAGCCTATACACATGGTCCTAGAGACAACTCCTGTTACCAGCTCCTTCTGCAATGATTGTGTTTTCTATTGAAATGCCATTGCTAAATTGCTGATTTTTCAATCTCTGTCCTTGGGATGAGACTGACAGTGTTTTTGTTTTTCAGTTTGGGTCTAGACTTTAACAAAATCTGTATTTATGGGACCTGGTTTGAAATAACAAAGTTAGCAAATACATTAAATAAAAAATACATATCAAAAAAGTACCCAGGAAGAGTAAGAAATGCAACAGAGGTTTGCTTGGATATATTTCTGAAAAGAACTGAAAGAACATTCACAGCACCAAAAACTACTGTTTTCATTTTTAGATTTTAGATTTATATTCTACTTTTTCTCAGGTCAAGGTAAAATATAGCACTCCATCCCCCCTCCTTTTTTTTTAGATTAGATTTTTTAAATTCAATGTTTCTCAACCTTGGCGACT